TGATTGAGTAGCTAACGACAACAACAAAGATAAATAGAAACAAAATAACTAGAAAGTATCACTGATACAACAACAACAACAACAAACAAACAAACAAAAAAAACCCATGGACTGCTAGAAGAATAAACAAATCTGTGTTGGAAAAAGTACAACCAGAATGTACCATAAAAACCAGGATGTCTCTCATGTTTCAGACATGCTATCAGGAGAGAGCAGTCTCTGGAGAATGACATCATGCTTGGTAAATTGGACGATCAGTGAAAAATTGAAAGACCCCCAACAAGGTGGATTGACACAGTGGCTACAGCAATGGGCTCAATAATAACAATTTTGAGAATGGTGCAGGATCTAGCAGTGTTTTGTTCTGTTATGCATAGGATCACGTTAAGTTGAAACTGACTTGACAACATCTAACAAAATCAAGAAGAATGATCTGGCTGGGCTCTTTGGTTGGGGACCCTCAGTGTCAGTAACTTTAGGTCTTTTCTCTTGAGTCCCTAGATAGAATAGACTCTTCTAGTCTCCTACATGAAGGAAGATGGCCTGGCTCCCATGTTTGGGAGCAAGAAGTGAGTGGAGGGGGAGTCTCACTCAGCACAGAGTGTGGCTGCCTGCATTTAATCACTGTTTTCAGGATGGTTTTCACCCTTCACAGTACTGTTGTCCTCCATCCAAAACCTCTGTTTTATCTTCTCCGAGGACTAAACCTCCAGTCTTAGGCCACGGTGTGGAAAGGGCTGCCACCCACCTGTGTGGAACTGGGGGGGAAAAACTCCCTATTTAAACAAACCTTCAAATAATTTTCTTTATTTAGCCCCTAGTTAACCCTAATTCCAGAGGTAACTAGGTCATTAATTCATTAACTTTTAGAAATGCTGCCTTACAGATCAGGATGGTTTGGGGCTTCCCTAATACTGGCTTTAAATCCTGGTTTATTTCTCTCTCTCTTTTAATTTATATTCTTCCTTCCTTTCTTCTTTTGATTTTCCTCAGCTAAATCATTTATCTTTTGTTTTCCAGTTTCCAAACTATGGCTCTTTTGCCTCCTCTCCTATAGCCTTAAAAAAAAAAATCTCTTTGGGAGGAAGTAAGACTACGTGCATGTGCTCATTTCTAAAATCAAGATGAGATGTAGATGTTATTACCACACTTCACAGATGAGGAAGTTGAAACTCAGAGAAATAACATAACTTGTCTGAGGATGTAGCTTGAGATGACTGGCCTGGGGCTGATCCTAAGACCACGTTCTTGGATATAGAGGACAGAATCAGATGTCTCAGAGTCACAACATTCTGGGGCTGACAGGGCCTTTAGGGAACAACCAGACAAACTCCTTCATTTTAGGAGAAAGAAGAAAAAAAAAAAAAAATGGAGAAGGGATTTTCCCATAGTCATGTAGCAAGTCTATGCAAACCATGATGAGACAAACTTCCTGCTACACTAGACCTTTCTGTGCCATTCTTCATCCAGTCATTGACTTTGCAGACAGGTATTGAGTACTGACTGAGTGCCAGGCCCTAAACTAGGCACTGAGGCTGCACATGTGAGTAAAATAGGGCCCTTGCCTACCAAGATTCCTCACGCTGCTTCCTACTGGCCACCAGGCATCCTTGATGAAGATGATAATGAGAGTGAAAGTAACCACATACCCCACATCTATCATTTATTGAGTACTTATTTCTGGTCAAGCTCTATTCTTTCTACTTGCTCTTTATGCATTAGTACATTTCATTCTCACAGTAAGCCTATGAGGTTGTTGTTGTTGTTGTTAGGTGCCATAGAGTAGGTACCAACTCATAGCAACCTTAAGCACAGCAGAACCAAACACTGCCAGATCCTGGGCCAAGCTCACTACTGTTACCATGCTTGAGTCCATCTCATTGGAGGTCTTTCTCTTTTTCTCTGACCCTCCACCTTACCAAACATGATATCCTTCTCCAGTGACTGGTCCCTGCTGACAATATGTCTAAAGTATGAGAAATGAAGTTCGGTCATCTTGGCCTCTAAAGAGCACTCTGACTGCACTTCTTCCAAAACTGATCTATTGCTTCTTTTGGAAGCCCATGGCACTTTCAATATTCTCCTCCAACACCATAACTCAAAAGCATCAATTCTTCTACAGTCTTCTTTATTCACTGTCCAGCTTTCGCATGCCTATGAGGTTATTGAAAATATCATGGCTTGGGTCAGGGGCACCTTAGTCCTCAAGCTGACATCTTTGCTCTTCAATACTTTAAAAAGGTCTTGTGCAGCACATTTGCCTAATGCAATATGTCGTTTGATTTCTTGACTGCTGCTTCCATGAGTATTGATAGTTGATCCAAGAAGAATGAAGTCCTTGACAACTTCAGTCTTTTTTCCATTGATAAGAATGTTTATTGGTCCAGTGGTGAAGATTTTTGTTTTCTTGACATTGAGATGTAATCCATACCGAAGGCTGTGCTGTTTGATCTTCATTAGTAAATGTTTAAGTCCTCTTCAGTTTCAGCAAGCAAGGTTGTATCATCTGCATATCGTAGGTCTTCCTCCAATCTTGATGCCATATTTTTCTTCATAGAACCCAGCTTCTTGGATTATTTGTTCAGTATACAGGTTGAATAAGTATGGTTAAAGAATACAACCTTGTCAATCACCTTTCTTAATTTTAAACCATTCTGTGCTCCCATATTCTGTTCAAACAACTGCCTCTTGGTCCAGGTACAGATTCCTCATGAGCACAATTAAGTGTTTTGGAATACTCACACTTTGCAATGTTGTCCATAGCTTGTCATGATCCACACAATCAAAAGCCTTTGCGTAGTCAATAAAGCACAGGTAAACATCTTTCTGATATTCTCTGTTTTCAGCCAAGATCCATCGGACATCAGCAATGATATCCCTCATTCCACGGCCTCTTCTGAATCTGGCTTGAACCTCTGGAAGTTCTCTGTCAGTGTATGCTTGCAGCCATTTCTGTATTACCTTTAGTAAAACTTTACTCTCATGGGATATCAAAGAGATTGTCCAATGATTTAGCATTCCATTGGATCACTTCTCTTTGGAATGGGCACAAATACAGATCTCTTCCAATCAGTGGGCCAGATAGTTGTCTTCCAAATTTCTTGGCAGAGATGAGTGAGTGATTCTTGTACCACCTCACTTTCTTAAAAGATTTCAATTTTTATTCCATCAATTCCTGGTGCCTTGTTCTTTGCCAATTCTTGCAATGCACCTTGAACTTTCTCCTTCAGTATCATTGGCTCTTGATCATATACTACCTCTTGAAACAGCTGAACATTAACCATTTCCTTTTGGTACAGTGACTCTGTGTATTCCTTCCATCTTCTCTTGATGCTCTCTGCATCATTCAATAATTTGCCCAGAGAGCCTTTCAATAATGAAAAGTCGAGGCTTGAATTTTTTCTTTCAGTTCCCCCAGCTTGAGAAATGCTGGGCGTGTTCTTCCATTTTGGTTTTCTGATTCCAGATCTTTGCACATTTTGTTGTAATATTTGGATTTATTTTCTTGAGCTGATCTTTGAAATTTTCTGTTCAGCTCTTGTACCTCTTCATTTCTTCCATTTGCTTTAACATCTCTATGCTGGAGAGCAAGTTTCAGAGTCTCTAACATCCATTTTGACCTTTTCCTTCTTTCTTGTCTTCTTAATGACTTTTTGCTGTCTTCATTTATGATGTTCTTGATGTCATCCCACAACTCTTCTGGTCTTTGGTCTTTAGTGTTTAATGTATCAAATCTATTCTCCAGATGATCTCTAAATTCAGCTGGGATATATTCAAGGTCGTATTTTGGCTCTCGTGGACTTGTTTTCATTTTCTTCAACTTCAGTTTGAGTTTGCATATGAGTAATTGATGGTCTGTTCCATAGTCTGTCCCTGGCCTTGTTTTGACTGATGATATGGAGCTTTTCCATCGTCTCTTTTCGCAGGTGTAGCCAATTTGATTTCTGTGTATTCCGTGTGTATAGTCACCTCTTATGCTGTCTAAAGAAAGTATTTGAAATGAACAAATCATTGGTTTTGCAGATTTCTATCATGCGATCTCCAGCATCATTTCTATCACCAAGGCCATATTTTCCAACTAGTGATCCTTCCTCTTTGCTCCCAACCTTTGCATTCCAATCACCAGTAATGAACAATAAATCTTGATTGCATGTTTGATCAATTTCAGATTATAGAAGTTGGTAGAATTCTTCTATTTCTTCCTCACTGGCTTTAGTGGTTGGTGAGTAAATTTGAATAATAGTGGTATTAACTGGACTTCCCTGTAGGTGCATGGATACTATCCTATCACAGATAGCGTTGTGCCTCATCACTAATCTGGCTATGTTCTTTCTGACAATGAATGCAACACCATTCCTCTTCAATTTGTCGTTTCTGGCATAGTAAACCATGTGGTCATCAGATTCAAAATGGCTAATACCAGTCCATTCAGCTCACTAATGCCTAAGATATCAATGTTTATGTGTTCCATATAATTTTTGACAACTTCCCATTTTCCCAAATTCATACTTCATACATTCCATGTTCCAATTTTCAATGGATGTTTACAGCTGTTTCTCTTCATTTTGAGTTGTGCCCCATCAGCAAATGAAGGTCCCACGGGCTTTTCTCCCACAGGCTTGACTCCATTTTCATCATCAAAGTCAGCTGTACTTTGAGGAGGCAGCTCTTCCCTAGTCACATTTTTAGTACCTTCCAACCTGAGGGCCTCATTTCCCGGCCCTATATCTGACAGTGTTTCTCTGCTATTCATAAGGTTTTCAGTGACTAAATATTCAGAAGTAGTTCGTCACTCCTTCAATGGTAATATCCCCATTTCACAGTTGAGGAAATTGATGAGCAAAGGCTGGAAATCAAAGATAGACAGCCAAGAGCCTGAGGACTGCATGGTATAAGTCCTGAGAAAGGCAGGCAAAGAAAGACAGCAGAGTAGGAGGAAAGCAAGGGGTGAACTGCAAGAAAAGGGAGATTTGCTCTGACCTGCTTTCTTCCCCTTTCAGTGTTCCGTGGGCCCATCCTCCGATAAAGCCTTGACCTTCATGAAGGACCATTTCCTGATGGATGAGCAGGTGGTAGGGACACCTCTGCTGGTGAAGTATGGTGTAGAGTACACAAAACTTGCGGTGGAGACAGCCCAAGATCTGGAAGGGAACAGCCATCTGATCATGTACCTGGGCACCAGTGAGTACAGGACTCCTCTATACCCCTCAGAGGACTAGAACAGCAGGCTTCCACCCAGGCTGAGGAGGGAAACCTTTGAGTTTATTTATTCGTTTAAGCAATGGTTACAGAGCATCTACTATGTGCCTGGCATCCTGCTAGGCTCTAAAATACAGTGGGGATCAAAGCAACCAGTCACTACCTTTTTTGGGCATCAGTCTAGTGGAGGAGACAGACATTAGAGGTCTTTATGACTTTAGCAAGATGAGGGAAGCCAAGTTAGAGGGGCAAAGAGTGGGTGGGTAAAGGGAATCTGAAAGCAGCAAGTGTAGATATCACTCCTTTGGGAAGCTTTACTGTGAAGGGAAGAGAGGAATGAGTAATGACTAGGTTGGGGTGTGGGACCCTGCAAGGATTATTTTTTTGAAAGATGAGAGAGTAAAGATTCCATAGAGAGGGAGATAGTGAAGAGATGGGCAAGAGAGAGGATAATTGACAGATAAAGTAACTGAGGGAGCAAAAGGCAGGAGTCCAGAACCCAGGTGGAGGGACTGGACTGCCTTTGTGTGGAGGAAGGAAAGCCAGCACCTTCCTGGGATGGTAGTGAAGAGGGGTGACACCTGGTAGGTGTGTCAACTCATGGAACAGGAAGCCAAGGGAGCGTTCTCTATGAAGTAGGACCCATGGTTATAAGCTGGGAGTGAGGGGTGAGGAGAGAGCAGCAGATTCAGATAGTCATAAAGAGAGGGAGCGAGAGTCAACAGGAGGACCTGGAAGGATTACTAAACACATTGAGGGCCTCATTGAGGTGAATGACCATGAACTTCAGTGTAAGAAACCCATTAGCTTCATTCAGTCTTTTCAGGACATATTTATGGAGCACTTACTATGAACTAGAAGTCCCTATGTGTCACAAATGGTTAAGCATGCCACACTAACCAGAAGGTTGGCAATTTGAACCCACCCAGAGGTGCCCTACAAGACTGGCCTGGTGATCTGCCTTTGACAAGCCTTAAAAACCATACAAAACACAGTTCTACTCTGTACACATGGGGTTGCCATGAGTCAGAGTCAACTCACTGGCAACTGTTTGGTTCCTCCCAGCTCCCGAATGTGCTAGGAACAGTATCAGTCATGTAATCGGGTATACAGTAGTGAATAAAACTGAGGAAGATCCTGATTTTTATGGAGTGGGAGGAGACAGACAATAAACATACTGAATGAGAAACTTACATAATATGAGTTAGAGCAAGATGAAGGGGAAATAGGAATACCAGATAGGAAGGTTGCAGTTTTTTAAAAGAATGTCTTTGAGTCAAGACTTGATGGAGGTAGAGGGCAGGTGATATATTCTTTCTACAGAAGTGCTCAGAGGTTCTCTGCCCCTTGCCCAAGGGGAAAGTGGGCAATTGGATTCCTCCAGGGATGGAGTTTTGTCAGGCTATTGTAAAGGAGGAGCAAAGAATTTTAAGCCATTTACAACAGAGCCCCAGCTGCTGCCGTGGTAAAGAGTAAGTGGTCTGCCTGGTTTGTATCTATGCACATTAGACTTCAGAAGGAAGTTTCTGACAGCTGGGAAGGTTCTCTGGAGGCAGGAAGAGGGAAAAGGGGATCTGTGGACAGGTGAGAGGTCTCAGCTGTCTGTCTCCCCACAGCCACAGGATCACTCCATAAGGCGGTGGTAAGCAACAACAGCAGTGCTCACCTGGTGGAGGAGATCCAACTGTTCCCTGCCCCTGAGCCTGTTCGAAACCTACAGCTGGCTCCCACCCAGGTGGGAAGGGATCTGGCCATCAGATGGCTTTCCGGTGGGGCAAGGCCTTGGGGACCTGGGCCAGGTTGCCAGTTCTTTACTGGGTAGGGCACCCTGACACTCTTTGTCTCTGTTGCAGGGTGCAGTATTTGCAGGCTTCTCAGGTGGCATCCAAAGGGTGCCCCGAGCCAACTGTAGCGTCTATGAGAGCTGCGTGGACTGTGTCCTTGCCCGGGATCCCCACTGTGCCTGGGACCCCGAGTCCCGAACTTGCCGCCTCTTGTCCATCCCTGTCCCGTGAGTGCCAGTCCTTGGATGGTGGCTGAATGGCCTGCCGGGACCTTCTTATCCTGCTTTGCCAGTCACCCCAAGATTGCATCCTCCCAAGCAGTCTTGAAGCTATCCTGGGTTTCTCCTCCTTTCCTTCTCTGCCCTTCCTTGTCCCCCTCAACCCACCTGCTCCCCACTACATATCCTTTCCTTCCCTCTTCCTCTTCCCGCTTTTGCCTGCTTCAGAGGGATGCTTTTTGCTTTCCCTGGCCCCTCAGGAAGTCCTGGAAGCAAGACATAGAACGAGGAAACCCAGGATGGGCATGTGCCATCGGTCCCATGGGCAGGAGCAACCAGCCTAAGAGCCGTCCCCAGATCAGTGAGTGTGGTGCTAGGGGAGGCACAAAGGATTTGGAGGGTTTACGGGCTGAGCTGGGCATTTCTGCCTCCATTTCCTCCTCCCTCTTCTGTCCTTGCACCTGCCTAACTTGAGACCTGAGCCCCTGGAATGGAGAGATGGGTTTGGGTCCTGGCTGTTGGTTAGAGGGACAGGAATTCTAAGCTGGGGCCAAACTGGGACTCAGGTTGATGTTAGATTTGTCAAAGGCAGAGTTAGATGGGGTAGGTGTGAGGGATGAGGTAGGACTGGAGGTTGGTTTAGGGTCCAGACTCGGGACAGGGTTGAGATTGGGAGTTAAAATGCAAGGCAGGAAAAAAATAAGAAAGGTAGGAGAGTGAGAGAAAGAGCTGGGTTCCAACTATACGGTAGAGATTCTCTTGCCTTTCTTCCTCTCCCCTTCCTTAACTCTTTTACCCCTTTTCCTTCCACAGTTAAAGAAGTCCTGGCTGTCCCCAACTCCATCCTGGAACTCCCCTGCCCTCACCACTCAGCCTTGGCCTCCTATTGCTGGAGTCATGGGGCAGCAACAATCCCAGAAGCCTCTTCCACTGTCTACAATGGCTCCCTCTTGCTGCTACTGCGGGATGGGGCAGGGGGTCTCTATCAATGCTGGGCCACTGAGCATGGTTTCTCCTACCCTGTGGTCTCCTATTGGGTGGACAGCCAGGACCAGCCCTTGTCTCCGGACCCTGAACTGGCAGGCATTCCCCGGGAGCGTGTAGAGGCCCCATTGACCAGGGTTGGTGGTGGGGCTGCCCTGGCGGCCCAGCGGTCCTACTGGCCCCACTTCCTCACAGTCACTGTGCTCCTTGCATTAGTACTCTCTGGAGCCCTCATCTTCCTCCTTGCCTCTCCTCTGGGAGCACTCCGAGCTCGGGGAAAGGTCCAGGGCTGTGGGACCCTGCCCCTGCCCCCTGGGGAGAAGGCCCCACTAAGCAGGGAGCAGCCCCTCAAGCTTCCCAAGGAACACAGGACCTCTGCCAGTAATGTGGACGCTGACAACAACCACCTGGGCACTGAGGTGGCATAAATTCTGTGGATACAGACTGGGGCTATTGGATAGGGTGCCTGGCCTTGTTGGCTGGGGACCCACAGCAATGCAGCCCTGATCAGAGTGGAAGTAGCACAAAAGACCACCTTCCTCTTCCTCCCATGAGGAGGAGCTTCTCTTGCCACTCTGTGGTACTGATAGCTCCCAGCGGGGTGGCGCACAGTGACGTGACTCCCCCCTGGGACACCCATCTACCAAGCACATGGAGCATAGGCTCTCTATGCACCCTGGATCCAGGCTGAGGAGGATCTAGAAAGGACCCTTCAGTTCTGATCGTTCCGGGAATCCTCCAGGACATACTGCTCCAGGAGGACCTAGATTACCTGACTGTTCCAGGACCCTGTGATAGTAAAGCACCAACCTAAACAACCATCATGAGATACTCCTGGAGACTCGATTCTGAAAGCAGCTGCCACTTTGGACACCAACATTTCCCTCTCTTAGGGGTCTCAGGTTCTTCAGGGAACTGCCCCTTGCTGCTTCCTTTACCAAACCACTGACTCCCAGGAAGTCTTTTCTGGAGTCTGATCACCTCTCTTCCTGCTCTATTCAGGGCAGGTTTTGAGCCCTTCTGCCCTGGCTTGAATGGCATGGGTAAGCTGAGCCTTGTTCACGTCTTTACCCTTGACTTCTGTTCTCCTCTCCCCTTTCCTTTGTTTTGAGATTCAGAAAACTGCTTGTCACAAACAGTTTATTTTTTATTAAAAGACAAACTTATGACTTGTGCTGTTTTGTCAGGACAGCTAACAACTGTGGGGATATGAGGGGAGCAAGCTGTTTGAGCACATCAGTGGGAAGGTGGTCTAAGTTTGTGGAATTACTATTCTCTCGAACTCTGGACCACCTCATCTACTCTGCCTGTTCCCCATCCAGAACCAGCCCTTCAGCCCCTCCGTTCCAGAAGCCGTTAGAGAGTGACTCAAACGCTGTCTTTTGGGCTGACCACAGGATTATGCTGACCAGACTCACTCCATCTCACTAACTCCCAGGTGGTGGCCCCCATCCTTGCTGTCCCATTTTCCCATACTTCTCCCCACTGCAATAGTTGGCTTCAACGCTTAGTGAACTGAATTTATAAAAATACCATGTAGTCACCCCGATCCTGGTGTGGACGAACCCTCTGTTCACACCCCCAAACTGCCTTTCCTCTCCCTGCTTCCACCAAGGTTTGGCAATGTCTGCCCCTCCCATCCTGCCACCTCTAAAATCTGTGAGTTAATCTGGCCTCCACTTCCTCATCTTTTACTTCCTGTGTCACCTGTCTCTTTTTCATCCACTCACATGTGTGAGTGTGCTCACATGTTCTCCATATGAAAATCAAAACAATAACCCTTCCTGCACCTCCACCTGTC